GGGCTACTCTTTTACCAACGAATAGTGGGATTGACCGTCACATTATAGCGCCCCCACGGCTGAAAGGGCGAGCATGGTTGGTGTGACGGGGATTCGAACCCGCGACCCTCAGATTGCGAGTCGAGCGCCCTAACCACCTGGCCATCCCGGGCTACATGCTTGGGCATTTTTAATGCCAGTAAACAACAACCAGCACTCTAAGATAATGAGATGTAACTAGAAATAGGAAACTCACAGTATAACACTACTTCAACCAAGTCTGAACATGAACCAGTGTGTTTCGCCGCTAAGGCTGAGAATGTGAGTTGCTATTTTCAAAAGATGAAAATGTATGTTATGCGTATGGTATTATCTTTAAAATTAAAAAACCTTGGCAAATTGTTTGGAAACAACCAATTTTCGGATGCATAAAACATTAAATAAAACACCTAAAGTAGGATACAATAATTAAAAGTTATAAAGAACATTTTATGCTGGCTATGCCGGATAAACGTCTATTGAATAATATATATTTTCAAATAAGACTTGATTATTTTAAACTTAGTCGTTTTCGTATGTTCTACATAACCTTACATAATGCCACAAACTGTTTCCTAGTTTGTTTGTTTTTGTTTTGTTTTGCTTATTTAAATAGGTTGGTGTTGACTTTTATTTTATATGGTTTTAATATTTCTTATGTATACGTTTTTCAAATTCAAGGTTAAAAATAGAAGTAAAATAAACTTACCTTTATGAAGTAGTTTAGTTTAATATCTTGATTTTAGAGGTACAATAAAATTCAAATAAACATATTGAACATTGCCACATCCATTATTTTCAAAAGCTGTTTTTAATAAACACTAATTGTGTGGTAAAACAATACTTTAGCACTAAAGTGTATTATATGAGTTTATGCAGAGTATAAGCTAAAAAACACTAAGATTTAATGGATTATTATTATTTTACAAGAAACAGTAAAGAAAGTGGTCAAATAGAAGATCTGCTACTTATCACGGCCACATCTCTTTCTGACATAGATATTGTAAATGTGTATAGACCAGACCATCCTCACCTTGTACACTCGGTAATCTCGAATGTATGGGTTTTTACATGAAAATTAGCTTAGTTAGTGTTGCTTGGATGTTTATATGTTAACAGAAAATAAGTTTATCTATTATTTATCCCTACATGCTAATATATTTACGTTGCTTATGAAGAGTGTTGCGTTCATTATATTAAAACTATTTCAAACATGTAAGCCAGCAAAATCACGTGATAACCAAAGCCGATATATAATTGCAGTGGAATGGAAACTATCAGAACAACATTTTAACATTTATTTAGCATTTCGTTTGGTAGTGTAATGTCTTCGAAGATTGATCGATTTTGAGAATGGTATATCAAACCCTTTGTGTTAAAGGTGGAGGATTTAGAATTTCCAAAACAGGGGTGTTCCTTGTACTACTTTACAGCCTTGGAATGGAATCTATATGAATCAGCTTTGGAATCCAGGAACCAACAAAAAAGAGACTTGCAACAAGTCGTACCCCTGCCATAATTTGCAAAGTGCGGCGTCTTGTAACAGGTAAGAATCCGCGACCACAAAGTTCAATGGAAAAAAGCCGTCCTGGTTTTTCAGGCAACAGTCCGCAACATAATAAATAAGGATCTCTGTCTAGAAAAGCGATACCTGTTACGCGTACACAAGCTGCTTCCACGACATATCCGTACAACCATCGTATACCTCAATCAACTGAACAATGAAACGGGTATTCATGGTACACCATACTAATACATACTGGTCCAGTCAATGGACACAGCGTCTATAGATTCCTGTACGATCGGACTGTTGAAATGGGCACTAGGAAAACGTCGTCTTCGTACACTTGATGAATTATAGAAATCAAACAAGGAGGAGTGATACGCTTTCGACATGACAACCTTACGTCAGAGCCTTTTGCTATAGTGCTATAAGTTCTAATCACATGGATTTTCAGTTTATATTTATATACACTAAGCTGATGTTGCCGGTTTTCCTGTTCCAGTGCGACGTGAAACATACATATCGTTTACAATTTAATTTCCATAAACCATTACAAATTATTTTATCCGTCAAATAGCAAAATGTTTAAGATGCTTTTTATATATCATTCTGTCTCAATAAATCCTTTTAGTAAACACTGCGATATCATTTGAGCATTAAACAAAGAAGTCAAATTAATTTAATGTATCTTGTGCATGACTTTTGTGAGTATTTTCATGGTGTTGAAAGACGTGAGGACCTACTAATGACTACCTTCATTGAAATATAAAAGTCAAAGAGTAAAAGATTTTGCAATGCTTGAATATAGCATGCTGATATTTATTACACAAATTCTGTACAATCCGCTTAAATTACCTACTCTAAATACAAACGACGATCTTTTGTTAACGTCAAGTATCTTGTACGTACATTGTACTATTCTTAATCTTGCGCAGTGTCTTTGGTGCTTTATGTATAACGTCATCACTTGTTTCACTTATTTCCTATTTACGATAAACTGAAAGCTCATAAAAGAGATGACAAAACTGTCCACTTTTGGGAATATATATATATACATTATCTGTAAAATGTTTGGTGATTGTTTTAGTAAGTGTATGATTCGAACCCGCGACCCGTAGATTGCCTGACCATACCAGACCAATTATGAATAGAGTGGTTAATGAATTTGTAGACAAAACTATGTGGCGAAAAATACCGTCATGAAAAGTTTATATCAACTAGCAGAGACCCGCAAGACATTTCGGACCAAATTAGTATCTTTATCATAATAGTACCTCTCTTAAATATACCATTACTAGCACAATACAAACGAATTGTAATCGTAGACAA